AAGGGGCCCCTGACGTGGCTCCTAGTGGAGGACCCCTCTGACACAGCCCCTCCTGCAGTAAGGGGCCCCTGACGTGGCTCCTAGTGGAGGACCCCTCTGACACAGCCCCTCTGCAGTAAGGGGCCCCTGACGTGGCTCCTAGTGACGGACCCCTCTGACACAGCCCCTCCTGCAGTAAGGGGCCCTGCATAGCCGTGACAGCTAGACGCCGTCTCAAGATAGTTCGCCTTCATGCTGTAATTATGGAGGTGGGCGAGTGTGTGTGACCTCCTAGTGTGTCGTAAGTGTGTACACACTCGCTGCTGTCTGCTCTGCAGACTGTGTCATTCCAGTGTGAGGCGTTCTTTTTAGTGTAATAATCGATTCTCTGGAAGCATTTCCAGCACCACCATCTCTCTCTTTCCAGCCGGAATATTAGAAGTACCTTCAAGGGTGGATGTTGGCACAGTGTTCCAGTACCTGAGGTACCTGCTTCCAGTACCCTGAGTACCTGGATACTGTTCCAGTACCTGAGGTACCTCCTTCCAGTACCCTGAGTACCTGTATACTGTTCCAGTACCCTGAGTACCTCCTTCCAGTACCCTGAGTACCTGGATACTGTTCCAGTACCTGAGGTACCTCCTTCCAGTAACCTGAGTACCTGGATACTGTTCCAGTACCCTGAGTACCTGTATACTGACTTCCAGTACCCTGAGTACCTGTATACTGACTTCCAGTACCCTGAGTACCTGTATACTGACTTCCAGTACCCTGAGTACCTGTATACTGACTTCCAGTACCCTGAGTACCTGTATACTGACTTCCAGTACCCTGAGTACCTGTATACTGACTTCCAGTACCCTGAGTACCTGTATACTGACTTCCAGTACCCTGAGTACCTGGATACTGTTCCAGTACCCTGAGTACCTGGATACTGTTCCAGTACCCTGAGTACCTGTATACTGACTTCCAGTACCCTGAGTACCTGTATACGGACTTCCAGTACCTGGATACTGTTCCAGTACCTGAGATACCAGCTTCCAGTACCGTGATGGCTATCACTGCTACCCTCCCAACCCTTGTATTCAAGCCTCTCATTACCTAACCTGTAATTTTCCCTGGCTGATGTTTCGTTTGATTTATTAAGGATGTTTTTGATTCCTTGTGTGGCTGAACTTGGTCTTGCGGGGCCCCTCTCCCTGCTTTGTCCCTTTTGACTTTCCCTATTCTTCTGGGGTATTTTGTATGTCAGGATCATGTCTCGTATTCTCGCCCGTATTAATGTTGCGGCTCGTGTCACTTGGCTCTGGGAACAGTTTGGTGTGTGTGTTCTCACCTAGTTGTGTTTACCTCAACCAGGCCCCCCCTCTCTCCCAGGGGGGAGCCTGATAGCTGAGTGGACAGCGCTTCGGATTCGTAGTCCTGAGGTTGGGAGTTCACTGGTTGTGGCAGGGGTGGCACTGGCTGTGGCAGGGGTGGCACTGGCTGTGGCAGGGGTGGCACTGGCTGTGGCAGGGGTGGCACTGGCTGTGGCAGGGGTGGCACTGGCTGTGGCAGGGGTGGCACTGGCTGTGGCAGAGGTGACACAGGCTGTGGCAGAGGTGGCACTGGCTGTGGCAGGGGTGGCACTGGCTGTGGCAGGGGTGGCACTGGCTGTGGCAGGGGTGGCACTGGCTGTGGCAGGGGTGGCACTGGCTGTGGCAGGGGTGGCACTGGCTGTGGCAGGGGTGACACAGGCTGTGTCAGAGGTGACACAGGCTGTGTCAGAGGTGACACAGGCTGTCAGAGGTGACACAGGCTGTGGCAGGGGCGGCGTGTCAAGCATGGCGGCGGGCAAGGTGCCGGCGTGACACAAGGAGCGGGTTGAGTGATGCTTAAGTCAATAATAGCGAGACATTAAGCTGACGAAGTGTCTCGCTCACAGCGGCGATAAGGCACGCCCGCCACGGCCGCCCACCCTTTTCCACCACCCACTGACCCCAAACCCCCCCGCCCACTTGACGTGGGCGGGGGGCGTGATGTGTAGGTGGGCGTAGCGGCATGATTACTACTGGCAGGGTTGTATTACTGACCAGAGGGACGCCAGTGGCGAAAGTAGGTGGGTGGCGTGGGCGGCAGTGGGTGGGTGGGGTGGGCGGCAGTGGGTGGGTGGCGTGGGCGGCAGTGGGTGGGTGGCGTGGGCAGGGTGTTCATATCAAACTATCGGGTTCAACCACGTTCAAAGCTGCCGAGTAATTGTGTAGCAACACTTAGAGGAATGCTTTCCAAACCTGGACAAGCGGGCTGTTATTGGAGTGCAAGAGAGCGCTGTGCCACACCTGTCTACACAGTGCCACACCATTGAGGTAGTAACAGCTTAGTAGAATACAGTGGCCCCCAAAGGAAGAGTGTGGGAGAGTCAGATGTGTTGGTAGAAAGCTTAATTGGCACTGTAGAAGACAGTGCAAAACCTGGAGGCAGATATTAATAAAGTCTGCGATTGGGCAACAGAAAATAACATGATGTTTAACGGTGACAAGTTGCAGGTACTGAGGTATGGTGCAAACGAGCAAGTTAAACGAAACACAGGGGACAGGACGCCATCAGACCTACTCATAGAAGGAAAGCAACATGTAAAAGATCTGGGAATTATGATGTCTGACGACCTGACATATAGTGAACATAACCGAGCAAATATAGCGGCGGCGGCCAGGACAATGGTAGGATGGATTACAAGTAGATATGAACAAAGTTTTCGACTGGGCAGCAGAAAATAACATGATGTTTAACAGTGATAAATTCCAGGTACTCAGGTACGGTACAAATGAGGACCTTAAACATAATACAGGGTACAAAACACAATCAAATCTGCCCATAGTAGGAAAACAGCATGTAAAGGATTTGGGAATAATGATGTCTGACGACCTAACGTTTAGGGAGCCAAGCAAATATTGCGTCAGCCAGAAAAATGATAGGATGGATTACGAGAACTTTCAAATCCAGGGATCCCATCACAATGGTTGTACTCTTCAAGTCACTTGTGTTGTCCCGTCTTGAGTACTGTTCAGTACTCACTTCCCCCTTCAGAGCAGGAGAGATTGCTGAAATAGAGGGAATACAGAGAACATATACGACACGCATAGACGAGATAAAGCACCTAAATTATTGGGATCGTCTCAAAGCTCTCCAAATGTACTCACAAGAAAGGAGACGAGAGAGATACCAAATAATATACACGTGGAAAATACTGGAGGGCCAGGTCCCAAATCTACACAGTAAAATAACAACATACTGGAGTGAACGATATGGAAGAAAATGCAGAATAGAACCAGTGAAGAACAGAGGTGCCATAGGCACAATCAGAGAACACTGTATAAACATCAGAGGTCCGCGGTTGTTCAACGTCCTCCCAGCGAGCATAAGAAATATTGCCGGAACAACCGTGGACATCTTCAAGAGAAAACTAGATAGTTTTCTCCAAGGCGTGCCGGACCAACCAGGCTGTGGTGGGTATGTGGGCCTGCGGGCCGCTCCAAGCAACAGCCTGGTGGACCAAACTCTCACAAGTCAAGCCTGGCCTCGGGCCGGGCTTGGGGAGTAGAAGAACTCCCAAAACCCCATCAACCAGGTATACTGTAGGTGTTTCCACTGGCAACCTCTCCCCACGGTGTATACTAACACTCACTGCCTTAAAGTATACCTGGGGGGGGGGGGGTAGGATTTTCTAGGCCTATATATCATATACAATGAGAATGTATAAGTCATTCCGGGTGATGGATGTTGAATATGGCATTATTGGTGCTGTATAATACAGTAGTTACTGTAGGTAATGCCATGCAGCGCAGGCCTCCAGCAGGGCATGCCACGTGGGCTCGGCTGTCTGGAGTGTCGGGCTGTAGCTCTGGGCCCCGCCTCTCCAACCCGTGGTTGTATCTACTTCTGTTCCAACTTTCCACGATCAGTTTCCGCTTACCTTGAAATGGTTTCGGGGCTCATCTTCCTCGTGGCCCGGTCTCCGACCAGGTCTCCTGGTTGCTGGACTGATCAACCAGGCTGTTGGACGCGGCTGCTCGCAGCCTGACGTATGAGTCACAGCCTGGTTGATCAGGTATCCTTTGGAGGTCTTTATAAAGTTCTCTCTTGAACACTGTGAGGGGTCGGCCAGTTATGTCCCTTATGTGTAGTGGAAGCGTGTTGAACAGTCTCGGGCCTCTGATGTTGATAGTTCTCTCTTGAACACTGTGAGGGGGTCGGCCAGTTATGTCCCGTATGTGCAGTGGAAGCGTGTTGAACAGTCTCGGGCCTCTGATGTTGATAGTTCTCTCTTGAACACTGTGAGGGGTCGGCCAGTTATGTCCCTTATGTGTAGTGGAAGCGTGTTGAACAGTCTCGGGCCTCTGATGTTGATAGTTCTCTCATGAACACTGTGAGGGGTCGGCCAGTTATGTCCCTTATGTGTAGTGGAAGCGTGTTGAACAGTCTCGGGCCTCTGATGTTGATAGTTCTCTCTCAGAGTACCTGTTGCACCTCTGCTCTTCAACGGGGGTATTCTGCACATCCTGCCATGCCTCCTGGTCTCATGTGGTGTTATTTCTGTGTGCAGGTTTGGGACCAGCCCCTCTAATATCTTCCACGTGTAAATTATTATGTATCTCTCCCGCCTGCGCTCAAGAGAATACAGATTTAGGTGTGTGGGCGGTGGGCGTGGTGTGTGGGCGTGGGGGTGGAGGACGATCTTGGGGGGGGGGGGGAAGGGGGAGATATGTAGTACTTGTTCCCCAAGATTGGAACTCCGGTAGCTATGAGGGATCCGATCCCTCCTCGCCTGATAGGACACGCTCCTGGTTCCCCCTCACCCCTCATCTCTCTCCCCCCTTACCCTCCTGCCTCTTCCCCTCACCCCCCTGCCTCTTCCCCCTCACCCTCCTTTGTCTCCCCTCCTTCCCTCCCCCTCTCACTATTGGATCGCACCCTTCCTACGCCAGCCACAGGCTTTGATCCTTGGGAAGACGTCTCTCTCTCCTTTATAACTCGAGCCTTACCTTTTGCTACCTGGGAGCCTCTCCCACTGTTCTCTGCCCTGGAGGGCGAGGCTAGAGAGTCCCATGGTGGAGAGTCCCATGGTGGAGAGTCCCATGGTGGAGAGTCCCATGGTGGAGAGTCCCATGGTGGAGAGTCCCATGGTGGAGAGTCCCATGGTGGAGAGTCCCATGGTGGAGAGTCCCATGGTGGAGAGTCCCATGGTGGAGAGTCCCATGGTGGAGACTCCCATGGTGGAGACTCCCATGGTGGAGAGTCCCATGGTGGAGAGTCCCATGGTGGAGAGTCCCATGGTGGAGAGTCCCATGGTGGAGAGTCCCATGGTGGAGAGTCCCATGGTGGAGAGTCCCATGGTGGAGACTCCCATGGTGGAGACTCCCATGGTGGAGACTCCCATGGTGGAGACTCCCATGGTGGAGACTCCCATGGTGGAGACTCCCATGGTGGAGACTCCCATGGTGGAGAGTCCCATGGTGGAGAGTCCCATGGTGGAGAGTCCCATGGTGGAGAGTCCCATGGTGGAGAGTCCCATGGTGGAGAGTCCCATGGTGGAGAGTCCCATGGTGGAGAGTCCCATGGTGGAGAGTCCCATGGTGGAGAGTCCCATGGTGGAGAGTCCCATGGTGGAGAGTCCCATGGTGGAGAGTCCCATGGTGGAGACTCCCATGGTGGAGAGTCCCATGGTGGAGAGTCCCATGGTGGAGAGTCCTGGGAGAGGGGGAGGCTGTACTCCCGTGCAGGAGACTAGAGGTGGGGAACGCTCATGGACAAGTTATGGGACGTTTGATCCCCCAGAGAGTCCAGGAGGTAGTGTACGAGTACAGTGTTGTCTTCTCTTAATAGCATCATGGCCTGGTACTCTGGCCCCCTCTTGCCCTACCTGGGTACACCACACCTGCCAGGATTGGCGGGTGTGGACCAGTCCTGGCGGGTGTAGGCTAGTCCTGGCGGGTGTGGACCAATCCTGGAGGCGGGTGTAGACCAGTCCTGGCGGGTGTGGACCAGTCCTGGCGGGTGTGGACCAGTCCTGGAGGGTGTGGACCAGTCCTGGAGGGTGTGGACCAGTCCTGGAGGGTGTGGACCAGTCCTGGAGGGTGTGGACCAGTCCTGGAGGGTGTGGACCAGTCCTGGAGGCGGTGGACCAGTCCTGGAGGCGGTGGACCAATCCTGGAGGCGGTGGACCAATCCTGGAGGCGGTGGACCAATCCTGGAGGCGGTGGACCAATCCTGGTGGGTGTGGACCAATCCTGGAGGCGGTGGACCAATCCTGGCGGGTGTGGACCAATCCTGGCGGGTGTGGAGCTGCTTATTGGCATAACAACAAAGTCACTGAGGCATTAGAAGAAAAACAAAATGCAGATGATGTATACACGGACTTCGCAAAGACATTCGACAAATGTGACCATGGAGTGATAGCTCACAAAATGAGGTCAGTGGGAATACCTGGTAAAGTATACTGGATACTCAGTTTTCTGTGGAACAGAACACAGAGAGTAACAGTCAACCATATATAATCGAGTCCGAGCGCAGTTAAAAGTTCTGTACTTCAGGGTACAGTCCTTGCACCACTGCTGTTCCTTATTCTCATATCAGATATAGACTCAAATACACGTCACAGCTTCGTATCATCCTTTGCAGATGATACAACAATCAGTATGAAAATTACCTCTGCTGAAGACATTGAAAAACTACAAATAGATATTAATAAAGTTTTCGACTGGGCAGCAGAAAACAACATGATGTTTAACAGTGATAAATTCCAGGTACTCAGGTACGGTAAAAATGAGAACCTTAAACATAATACAGGGTACAAAACACAATCAAATCTGCCCATAGTAGGAAAACAGCATGTCAAGGATTTGGGAATAATGATGTCTGACGACCTAACGTTTAGGGAGCATAACCAAGCAAATATTGCGTCAGCCAGAAAAATGATAGGATGGATTACGAGAACTTTCAAATCCAGGGATCCCATCACAATGGTTGTACTCTTCAAGGCACTTGTGTTGTCCCGTCTTGAGTACTGTTCAGTACTCACTTCCCCCTTCAGAGCTGGAGAGATTGCTGAAATAGAGGGAATACAGAGAACATATACGGCACGCATAGACGAGATAAAGCACCTAAATTATTGGGATCGTCTCAAAGCTCTCCAAATGTACTCACAAGAAAGGAGACGAGAGAGATACCAAATAATATACACGTGGAAAATACTGGAGGGTCAGGTCCCAAATCTACACAGTAAAATAACAACGTACTGGAGTGAACGATATGGAAGAAAATGCAGAATAGAACCAGTAAAGAGCAGAGGTGCCATAGGCACAATCAGAGAACACTGTATAAACATCAGAGGTCCAGTGAAGAGCAGAGGTGCCATAGGCACAATCAGAGAACACTGTATAAACATCAGAGGTCCGCGGTTGTTCAACGTCCTCCCAGCGAGCATAAGAAATATTGCCGGAACAACCGTGGATATCTTCAAGAGGAAACTAGATTGTTTTCTTCAAGGAGTGCCGGACCAACCAGGCTGTGGTGGGTATGTGGGCCTGCGGGCCGCTCCAAGCAACAGCCTGGTGGACCAAACTCTCACAAGTCAAGCCTGGCCTCGGGCCGGGCTGTGGTGGATATGTGGGCCTGCGGGCCGCTCCAAGCAACAGCCTGGTGGACCAAACTCTCACAAGTCGCGCCTGGCCTCGGGCAGGGCTTGACACAGTGACGGCTTCGCCACCCTTACTTAAGCCACACACAGTAATAAACAGTTCACTGTACGTACAAGTTTTGAAGGTATTTTGACCATTACTTGACAGGTGACAATCAAATAAGTGACCTGACAGGTGTACTGGGAATCAGATAAGTGACCTGACAGGTGTACTGGGAATCAGATAAGTGACCTGACAGGTGTACTGATAATCAGATAAGTGACTAATCAGGTGTACTGGCAGCCACCACCACAGGTACTAAATAGAACCAATCATTTCTCGTGGAACCCCCAATCCCCCCAATCCCCCCTCCCCCCTTGTTCCGTTAAATAGTTCTTTGAGGTCTCTGAAGACAGCTGTAAACCCCTACTTCCATGTATCTCTCGGTCCATTTCACAGGGAGTCGCTCCCGTGGGTGATTGTAAGAATTCTCTGAACGAAAGTCACGGAGCGTGAGCGTAGTCCTCAGGGAATGATGGGTGGTGGGAGATGGATGCCAGAGGCCAGTGGACTGTGAAATAGACTTTCATTTTGCATAAGATTAGCGCGGGAAACCATCGCCAAGCGGCGATGGCGCGGGAAATTGCCTCCACTTGTTTAATGCCAAGTCCCGCGTTCTGTCAGACGTCCAAGTCCCGCGTTCTGTCAGACGTCCAAGTCCCGCGTTCTGTCAGACGTCCAAGTCCCGCGTTCTGTCAGACGTCCAAGTCCCGCGTTCTGTCAGACGTCCAAGTCCCGCGTTCTGTCAGACGTCCAAGTCCCGCGTTCTGTCAGACGTCCAAGTCCCGCGTTCTGTCAGACGTCCAAGTCCCGCGTTCTGTCAGACGTCCGCCCAGGCCGGCCAGAGAGGCAGTGTTCTCTTACTTACTCTCCTGTAGCTGCCTCTGGCACTCACTGTGGCTGCTTGCTGCCTCTGGCACTCCTGTGGCTGCTTGCTGCCTCTGGCACTCCTGTGGCTGCCTCTGGCACTCCTGTAGCTGCCTCTGGCACTCACTGTGGCTGCTTCCTGCCTCTGGCACTCCTGTGGCTGCTTGCTGCCTCTGGCACTCCTGTGGCTGCCTCTGGCACTCCTGTGGCTGCCTCTGGCACTCCTGTGGCTGTCTCTGGCACTCCTGTGGCTGCCTCTGGCACTCCTGTGGCTGCCTCTGGCACTCCTGTGGCTGCCTCTGGCACTCCTGTGGCTGCCTCTGGCACTCCTGTGGCTGCTGGCACTCCTGTAGCTGCCTCTGGCACTCCTGTAGCTGCCTCTGGCACTCACTGTGGCTGCTTGCTGCCTCTGGCACTCCTGTGGCTGCCTCTGGCACTCCTGTGGCTGCCCCTGGCACTCCTGTGGCTGCCTCTGGCACTCTTTGTAGCTGCCTCTGGCACTCCTGTGGCTGCCTCTGGCACTCCTGTGGCTGCCTCTGGCACTCCTGTGGCTGCCTCTGGCACTCCTGTGGCTGCCTCTGGCACTCCTGTAGCTGCCTCTGGCACTCCTGTAGCTGCCTCTGGCACTCCTGTAGCTGCCTCTGGCACTCCTGTGGCTGCTGGTACTCCTGTAGCTGCCTCTGGCACTCCTGTAGCTGCCTCTGGCACTCCTGTGGCTGCCTCTGGCACTCCTGTGGCTGCCTCTGGCACTCCTGTGGCTGCTGGCACTCCTGTGGCTGCTGGCACTCCTGTGGCTGCTGGCACTCCTGTGGCTGCTGGCACTCCTGTGGCTGCTGGCACTCCTGTAGCTGCCTCTGGCACTCCTGTAGCTGCCTCTGGCACTCCTGTGGCTGCTGGTACTCCTGTAGCTGCCTCTGGCACTCCTGTAGCTGCCTCTGGCACTCCTGTGGCTGCCTCTGGCACTCCTGTGGCTGCCTCTGGCACTCCTGTGGCTTCTGGCACTCCTGTGGCTGCCTCTGGCACTCCTGTAGCTGCCTCTGGCACTCCTGTGGCTGCCTCTGGCACTCCTGTGGCTGCCTCTGGCACTCCTGTGGCTGCCTCTGGCACTCCTGTGGCTGCTGGCACTCCTGTGGCTGCTGGCACTCCTGTGGCTGCTGGCACTCCTGTAGCTGCCTCTGGCACTCCTGTGGCTGCTGGTACTCCTGTAGCTGCCTCTGGCACTCCTGTAGCTGCCTCTGGCACTCCTGTAGCTGCCTCTGGCACTCCTGTGGCTGCCTCTGGCACTCCTGTGGCTGCCTCTGGCACTCCTGTGGCTGCTGGCACTCCTGTGGCTGCTGGCACTCCTGTGGCTGCTGGCACTCCTGTGGCTGCTGGCACTCCTGTAGCTGCCTCTGGCACTCCTGTAGCTGCCTCTGGCACTCCTGTGGCTGCCTCTGGCACTCCTGTGGCTGCCTCTGGCACTCCTGTGGCTGCCTCTGGCACTCCTGTGGCTGCCTCTGGCACTCCTGTGGCTGCCTCTGGCACTCCTGTGGCTGCCTCTGGCACTCCTGTGGCTGCCTCTGGCACTCCTGTGGCTGCCTCTGGCACTCCTGTGGCTGCCTCTGGCACTCCTGTGGCTGCCTCTGGCACTCCTGTGGCTGCCTCTGGCACTCCTGTGGCTGCCTCTGGCACTCCTGTGGCTGCCTCTGGCACTCCTGTAGCTGCCTCTGGCACTCACTGTGGCTGCCTCTGGCACTCCTGTGGCTGCTGGCACTCCTGTGGCTGCCTCTGGCACTCCTGTGGCTGCCTCTGGCACTCCTGTAGCTGCCTCTGGCACTCACTGTGCCTACTTCCTCTGGCACTCACTGTGGCTGCTGGCTGCGTCTGGCACTCACTGTGCCTGCTGCCTCTGGCACTGTGCCTGCTGCCTCTGTCACTGTGCCTGCTGCCTCTGGCACTGTGCCTGCTGCCTCTATTCACGCTACACTCTCTTTACTATTCCCACATTTAGGTGCTATATGGGTAGTTATATAGGGTGGCCAAGACTACATAGGGAGTGACAGGGTGTCAAGAGAGACGTGACAGGGGTGTCAAGAGAGACGTGACAGGTGTCAAGAGCTAGTTACGTGACACTTAACTGCCCATCTCGCTGCGTTGTTAGTCGCACGGAACCACGTGGCACGTAGTACAGCAATCTTGAGAGGCACTATGATCAGGTGATTAGGAGAGTTGATCAAGTGATTGCAAAGCTTCCAATCTGCCTCTTGGGGGGGCGGGGGGGAGGGTTGATGAGCGCTTGGAGCATTAGTTGTTGTATAGTATTACCACCACCACTCCACACCTGTCTGTCTCGTCCACACCTGTCTGTCTCGTCCACACCTGTCTGTCTCGTCCACACCTGTCTGCCTCGTCCACACCTGTCTGCCTCGTCCACACCTGTCTGCCTCGTCCACACCTGTCTGTCTCGTCCACACCTGTCTGCCTCGTCCACACCTGTCTGCCTCGTCCACACCTGTCTGTCTCGTCCACACCTGTCTGTCTCGTCCACACCTGTCTGCCTCGTCCACACCTTTCTGCCTCGTCCACACCTGTCTGCCTCGTCCACACCTGTCCGCTGGCAGCCCCTCCACACCTTCCTTGTGGCCTGATCACCGTCTTGCGTGTCTCTCCCTTGCCTTCCTTAGACTCCTGGTCGACGACCGGGCCGCGGGGACGCTGAGCCCCGGAACAACTCCGAGGTAACTGCTTGTCCTGGGTGTTGACACACACACTAGCGACATGGAACCACTCGAGCAGCAGTCCAGAGAATTCCTCCCACTACAAGAAGGGAGAGAGATTTGGGATGGGCCGGGGGGTGGGGGATAGAATGGTACCCTACCACTTAATTGACGGTCGGGGGATTGAACGCCGACCTGCATGAAGCGAGACCGTCGCTCTACCGTCCAAGGAGCAGGCATCATACACCCGTTCACAGTCAGGTGTGTACGAGATACGGTCAGCATCGGCTGATAGGGATGCTGGGACATATCTGAGAGCAGGTGGGATGCTGGGACATATCTGAGAGCAGGTGGGATGCTGGGACATATCTGAGAGCAGGTGGGATGCTGGGACATATCTGAGAGCAGGTGGGATGCTGGGACATATCTGAGAGCAGGTGGGATGCTGGAACACATCTGAGAGCAGGTGGGATGCTGGAACACATCTGAGAGCAGGTGGGATGCTGGAACACATCTGAGAGCAGGTGGGATGCTGGAACACATCTGAGAGCAGGTGGGATGCTGGAACACATCTGAGAGCAGGTGGGATGCTGGAACATATCTGAGAGCAGGTGGGATGCTGGAACACATCTGACAGCAGATAGGATGCTGGAACACATCTGAGAGCAGGTGGGATGCTGGAACACATCTGAGAGCAGGTGGGATGCTGGAACACATCTGAGAGCAGGTGGGATGCTGGAACATATCTGACAGCAGATAGGATGCTGGAACACATCTGAGAGCAGGTGGGATGAGCAGGTGGGATGCTGGGACATCTGAGAGCAGATGGGATGCTCTCCTGTGATCACATGGGAGCTGCCATAATTGCAAGCCGAGTTATTGCAAGTTATCGCAGATAAAGACCATAATTAGTGGAATTCTGATTCTGGCTCAAAGATTGGGATACTTGGGGAGATATGCAAATGAGGCACTTGAAGAGCCAATGACCGAGAACTATTGAATCGATATCTTATTCATGATAAGGCCTTAGAAATTCCAGTGTTTTCTAGAAAGTGTAATGTTACTCTTTTGTTAGAAGCTGCGCCAGGCTTCCTTTCTTGGCAGTAATGGAGGGGGGTTTAAGGAAGCTTTTTGGCACTTATTTAATGTTTGTTAAGTGTGTTTAAAATGGTCTTTGGTGGTGCGGAAACTACCACCATCCACTACCACCAATGACTATCACCATCCACTACCACCACCACCCAATACCACTACCACTATCACCCACTACCACCTACCACATCCACTACCCAATACCACTACCACTATCACACACTACCACCTACCACATCCACTACCACCTACCACATCCACTACCACCACCCAATACCACTACCACTATCACCCACTACCACCTACCACATCCACTACCACCACCCAATACCACTACCACTATCACCCACTACCACCTACCACATCCACCACCACCACCCACTACCACCCACCACCACCCACCACCACCCACCACCACCCACATCTAAAACCACCACCACCCACCTCCACCACTTCGTAAACCTGAAACCGGTCAGGTTTACGAAGCAGTTACGCAAGCACTTACGAACCTGGGGGTCAGGTACACGAAGCAGTTACGCAAGCACTTACGAACCTGGGGGGCCAGGTTCACGAAGCAGTTACGCAAGCACTTGCAAACCTGGGGTTTAGGTTCACGAAGCAGTTACGCAAGCACTTACGAACCTGGGGGGCCAGGTTCACGAAGTAGTTACGCAAGCACTTACGAACCTGGGGGGTCAGGTTCACGAAGCAGTTACACAAGCACTTACGAACCTGGGGCCAGATTCACGAAGCAGTTACACAAGCACTTACGAACTTGGGGGTTAGGTTCACGAAGCAGTTACGCAAGCACTTGCAAACCTGGGGCCAGGTTGACAGAACCAGATTGACCCATTAGGTAATGGTGGAAGCATCGCTTGGGGGATGGGGGGGAGGGGGCGAATGGTAGAAGCGCTTGCGCATGGACGCATGGGCTAAGGGGGGGAGGCCCCACACGAGGGGGTAGGGGGGGGGGGCAGCGAGTGATACATTTTGCTTGTTGGAGTTGCGGTTGGGCCGTGATGACAGGCCGGGGTTTTCTCCTAATAGCCGGAGGTGTGGGGGGCTGGGGCGGGGGGGGGGGGGGGAGGGGCGGGGGCTTTTGAGTGACGTGGACACCGTGATTGATGGCCTCCCCCCCCCCCCCTTCGAGGTACAACTACCCTGAGGAACGTCGTAGTGTACTCAAGTGTACTTATTACGGGGTTATTCATGCCCGTGCCGGCTCTTGGGGTGGATTAATCCTCATCAGTCAACAGTGTACTGACCTAGTATGTGGGTGCCTGGCCTAGTATGTGGGTGCCTGAGCTAGTATGTGGGTGCCTGGCCTAGTATGTGGGTGCCTGGCCTAGTATGTGGGTGCCTGGCCTAGTATGTGGGTGCCTGGCCTAGTATGTGGGTGCCTGGCCTAGTATGTGGGTGCCTGGCCTAGTATGTGGGTGCCTGGCCTAGTATGTGGGTGCCTGGCCTAGTATGTGGGTGCCTGGCCTAGTATGTGGGTGCCTGGCCTAGTATGTGGGTGCCTGGCCTAGTATGTGGGTGCCTGGCCTAGTATGTGGGTGCCTGACCTAGTATGTGGGTGCCTGGCCTAGTATGTGGGTGCCTGACCTAGTATGTGGGTGCCTGGCCTAGTATGTGGGTGCCTGGCCTAGTATGTGGGTGCCTGAGCTAGTATGTGGGTGCCTGAGCTAGTATGTGGGTGCCTGACCTAGTATGTGGGTGCCTGGCCTAGTATGTGGGTGCCTGACCTAGTATGTGGGTGCCTGACCTAGTATGTGGGTGCCTGACCTAGTATGTGGGTTCCTGGCCTAGTATGTGGGTGCCTGGCCTAGTATGTGGGTGCCTGGCCTAGTATGTGGGTGCCTGACCTAGTATGTGGGTGCCTGGCCTAGTATGTGGGTGCCTGGCCTAGTATGTGGGTGCCTGGCCTAGTATGTGGGTGCCTGGCCTAGTATGTGGGTGCCTGGCCTAGTATGTGGGTGCCTGGCCTAGTATGTGGGTGCCTGAGCTAGTATGTGGGTGCCTGGCCTAGTATGTGGGTGCCTGGCCTAGTATGTGGGTGCCTGACCTAGTATGTGGGTGCCTGACCTAGTATGTGGGTGCCTGACCTAGTATGTGGGTGCCTGACCTAGTGTGTGGGTGCCTGGCCTAGTGTGTGGGTGCCTGGCCTAGTGTGTGGGTGCCTGACCTAGTGTGTGGGTGCCTGACCTAGTATGTGGGTGCCTGGCCTAGTATGTGGGTGCCTGGCCTAGTATGTGGGTGCCTGGCCTAGTATGTGGGGTGCCTGGCCTAGTATGTGGGGTGCCTGACCTAGTATGTGGGCGCCTGGCCTAGTATGTGGGGTGCCTGACCTAGTATGTGGGCGCCTGACCTAGTATGTGGGTGCCTGGCCTAGTATGTGGGGTGCCTGACCTAGTATGTGGGCGCCTGACCTAGTATGTGGGTGCCTGACCTAGTATGTGGGTGCCTGACCTAGTGTGTGGGTGCCTGACCTAGTATGTGGGTGCCTGGCCTAGTATGTGGGTGCCTGGCCTAGTATGTGGGTGCCTGGCCTAGTATGTGGGTGCCTGGCCTAGTATGTGGGTGCCTGGCCTAGTATGTGGGTGCCTGAGCTAGTATGTGGGTGCCTGGCCTAGTATGTGGGTGCCTGGCCTAGTGTGTGGGTGCCTGACCTAGTGTGTGGTGCCTGACCTAGTATGTGGGTGCCTGACCTAGTATGTGGGTGCCTGACCTAGTATGTGGGTGCCTGGCCTAGTGTGTGGGTGCCTGGCCTAGTGTGTGGGTGCCTGACCTAGTGTGTGGGTGCCTGACCTAGTATGTGGGTGCCTGACCTAGTATGTGGGTGCCTGGCCTAGTATGTGGGTGCCTGGCCTAGTATGTGGGTGCCTGGCCTAGTATGTGGGGTGCCTGACCTAGTATGTGGGGTGCCTGACCTAGTATGTGGGGTGCCTGACCTAGTATGTGGGGTGCCTGACCTAGTATGTGGGTGCCTGGCCTAGTATGTGGGTGCCTGGCCTAGTATGTGGGTGCCTGACCTAGTATGTGGGTGCCTGGCCTAGTATGTGGGCCCCTGACCTAGTATGTGGGCGCCTGACCTAGTATGTGGGTGCCTGACCTAGTGTGTGGGTGCCTGACCTAGTGTGTGGGTGCCTGACCTAGTATGTGGGTGCCTGGCCTAGTATGTTGGTGCCTGACCTAGTGTGTGGGTGCCTGGCCTAGTATGAGGGCCCCTGACCTAGTATGAGGGCCCCTGACCTAGTATGAGGGCCCCTGACCTAGTATTTGGGCCCCTGACCTAGTATGAGGGCCCCTGACCTAGTATTTGGGCCCCTGACCTAGTATGTGGGCCCCTGACCTAGTATGAGGGCCCCTGACCTAGTATGTGGGCCCCCTGACCTAGTATGAGGGCCCCTGACCTAGTATGAGGGCCCCCTGACCTAGTATGAGGGCCCCCTGACCTAGTATGAGGGCCCCCTGACCTAGTATGAGGGCCCCTGACCTAGTATGAGGGCCCCTGACCTAGTATGAGGGCCCCTGACCTAGTATTTGGGCCCCTGACCTAGTATGAGGGCCCCTGACCTAGTATGAGGGCCCCTGACCTAGTATGAGGGCCCCCTGACCTAGTATGAGGGCCCCTGACCTAGTATGAGGGGCCCCTGACCTAGTATGAGGGCCCCCTGACCTAGTATGAGGGCCCCCTGACCTAGTATGTGGGCCCCTGACCTAGTATTTGGGCCCCTGACCTAGTATGTGGGCCCCTGACCTAGTATGTGGGCCCCTGACCTAGTATGTGGGCCCAAGGAGGGCCCAAGACCCTCCACTACCACCTTATAATGAGTAAAGTTGTGTCTGGAGGGGGGGGCGGGGGGCGTCAACCCCCACATAAAACTCCTGAGGATTTTAGTTCGAAAATAATTAAGAGGTTGGTGCTGTAGTGATGGTAGTGAGGTTGGTGGTGTCTGGTGTAGGGGTTGTGGCTGTTAACTGGGCTGTTAACGGCTGTTAACTAGGCTGTTAATTGGGCTGTCAACTGGGCTGTTAATTGGGCTGTCAACTGGGCTGTTAATTGGGCTGTCAACTGGGTTGTTAATTGGGCTGTCAACTGGGCTGTTAATTGGGCTGTCAACTGGGCTGTTAATTGGGCTGTCAACTGGGCTGTTAATTGGGCTGTCAACTGGGCTGTTAATTGGGCTGTCAACCTGGCTGTTAACGGCTGTTAACTGTGCTGTTAATTGGGCTGTTAGCGGCTGTTAACTGTGTTATCAAGTGGGCTGTTAACGGCTGTTAATTGGGCTGTTAATTGGGCTGTTAATTGGACTGTTAATTGGGCTGTTAACTGGGTTGTTAACTGGGTTGTTAACTGTGCTGTTAACTGCGCTTTTAACTGGGCTGTTAACTGGGCTGTTTGTGGATATAACAGCGACGACACAAAGTCTCCGAGAGAACACTTGATTCGATTTGAACACTTTGATTCACTGTGTAAAGACCTGTCGTAAGTGTTAATGTTCCTTGTTGGAGAAGCGTTCAAGATGGCGGCGTTTGGTCTGGCCTCAGATGACCAGAAACACTTGAGGAAGATTTTCAGACATTCTTCGATCCGGTCGTTGTGGGGTGTGGTGTTCGTAACCCGTGGGTTACATGGGTGCTGGTGCTCC